ATGATATATGTTCAAGATCAGCGGGACTGATTCCTCCAACCTAGACTATCTCATGATTTTATGAAATTGCTATTGGCAAATAAGCAGTCAGCTCATATTGTGGTAGGCAGAGGTGCATATTCGAAGAAAACAATCGTATATTGGAAGATATCCGTTTTAATTTTTTGGCAGAGTTGAACATTTTGATACGAAGCTAAACTTATATGATGTCAGCGCAAATTATTTCTAAAAGGACTGTAGATCAGAAAAATGCACTAATGTTTTCCTTCCTATCTCTATATTTTTTTTTCTCGTTTTCTAGCAGCTTTTCCTTTTTTTTTCCTTTTAAAAAAAACCGCTTTTACTTGGTGAGTGTGGTCCATTCTTCAGTTGACAAGCCCAAGTTGTCAACACCAAACTTATCCCCTGCTCGGATGGCCTCTGATGCCAATTTGGGGGGAACAAAGAGACTTGCTTGATCCACAAGTGTATAAGCAGATCGTAGTGTCTGAAAGGGAGGAGGTGTCAATCGAAGGTGTTAATTTCACCCCCATATGATGAGTTAGACTTACCTTTTCTGCCAAATCTTCATCCTCGTCTTCAATGGATTTGCTGAGTACCTTGGCAAAGGCATCTGGTATGTCTTGTGATGCCAATAGTTTTGCCACTGAAGGGTCTTCCAGCATTAATGTGTTGTATAAGAAGATGGTTTTGCGCAGAGTAGAGGAATCTAGTGACCGCGAATAGAAACAGTACCATGAGTATCTTCGTACGCTATCATATGCATACTACGAACATGCTTTTAGCTTACCTTGGGAGTTCCTAACAATGTCAGCCAAAGCGTCGAAACCACCTTTTTCTTGAAATTGAGCGAGTCCCTCTGGGAAATGCTTGATCAACCCAGAAACTGCATATTGAGCCTTGGCTCTGACTTCCTTGTCTTCAGCACTGTTGCTCAAAAGGTTCAATAGAGGCTCCAAGCCATTGTTATCCAAGAGCTAGAGAAACATTGTGTTTAGAACTGCGACCACCTCATAATTACAATTGGTATTAACACATTATGTCTCCTAAATACATACCGCCTGCTGTGCTTTAGGGTTATTCTGAACCGCGGTACCGCAAACCCAGGCAACACCTTTTCTGATCTCTGCGTTTTCATTGTTCAATTGAGCGATGATGGCTGGCCACAACTTCATGTTTTCGAGGTCTAACAAGAGGAAAATCCTGTCAGTATGGAGGTAGAACAAAATTTGGCTGCATGAACCATGACGCGCCCCCGTATCATAAACCGAATACATACTCATTGCGTTGTCGATACCTTCAATCAACTTTTGGCCAATGAAAGAACCATAAAGATCACTTAGTAAAACAGCCATTTGCTTGCATAATGTAAACCTTCGATAGTTCACTTACCATTTCCAAATTATCAAGAGCAATGACCTTGTTTTCAACAGTATCTTTAGGATCCGAAATACAATCAACAGCCTCTACTCGTAATAACAAAGTGTTGAGTCCAGTGTCGTGAAGTGAGTGCGCAATTAGCAATCAATTTCAATCTACTTACCCTTCATACGAGTTGCGTCGTCTTTGCCGAGAATGGCCTCTATGACCTTGGGATCAAACTTGGAAGGATCAGGCTTCAACTCTCCTCTCTTGATAGCTTCTGCATCCTTTCGAAGTTGTTCTTGATCGGTGTTGTTGATAGCCCACTGAAGTAGCTGCTCCATGGTTGAATGTGATAGTTTGCAAAAGAAAAAAGTTGAACAGCCGCTAGATGCTTCGAGACTTTGTGACTACTCCTTTCAATTTTTCATCAACTTAATTTTTTACATCAAAATGCGTGACGTTTCGCAGATTACGTTCGTTTCTGAGGCCGACGCGTCTACTTGATACAAAAGCTCAAAGGCACTTGCTTCGGCTGCTTGGTTCCCGCAGAAACGCTCACATAATGTCCAGCTACGATCAATCTTTGACCATCTTTTCTCCTGACGGACATCTCTTCCAAGTCGAATATGCATCTGAAGCCGTCAGAAAGGGAACGTGTGCGGTAAGAATCGCCTGCTCGCTTTGACATTCTTCACCTCGGGCCCTGAATATGTTCGACAAGGAATCGTAACCGTAATGACAGCCACATGCACTCCATGCTAGTCCATTTCACTATTCCACTACTTATTCACTTGGGCTCTGGGTTGTTACACCGCCCGTTATCTTATTCTGCTTGTTTCTAACCCCCCTATTTGCTCTACCTAGGTCGGCGTGCGCGGAAAGGACGTTGTTGTTCTTGGTGTCGAAAAGAAGTCAGTGCTAAAGCTTCAAGACCCTCGCACTGTTCGCAAGGTTTGCATGCTTGACGATCATGTCTGTTTGGCTTTTGCAGGTATGGGATACGATACACAATTCTGTTCAAACCTTGGTGCATACATCTAAAGATCCTATGGTTGTTTTACATTAGGTCTTAGCGCAGATGCTCGTGTTCTTATAAAACAGGCTCGAATCGAGTGCCAGAGTCATCGCCTTACCGTTGAGGATCCTGTTTCTATTGAATACATTACCCGATTTATCGCCAAGCTTCAACAAGTAAGTAATCAACCATGCAATTGTCCTGGTCCACCAACTGCTTGTTTCCAGGCTTAGCATGAGCATGTACTTATACAAGATTTAAATATAGAGATACACACAAATGCCAGGTGTTCGCCCATTCGGCATTTCAACACTTATTGCTGGATTTGACTCGGATAACAAGCCAAAACTTTTCATGACAGAACCATCAGGCATTGATACTGCATGGAAGGTCAGTACCCACTTTCTGCATAAATGCGCCACGTTTAGTATGGGAAAGGTTGTTTAACCAGTGTATCCCTATAGGCAAACGCAATAGGAAGGAGCTCAAAAACAGTACGCGAGTTTTTAGAAAAGAATTACCAAAACGATATGGAGCAAAGAGATAGCATCAAACTTGCTATCAAGTCACTACTTGAGGTATGTTTATCAGATATTCGAAGTTTGATTTGACCTGAACATTAGGCTAAAAGAAATGTGTTCCCTTTTAGGTTGTGCAAACTGGTGCCAAGAACATTGAAATTGCTGTGATGACTGATGATAAGAAAGTCAGGGTAAGTCTGTCAATGCAGTTAATATCCATCACTGCGAGCCATCAAGCATGATTGACTCATTGAGTATTTTCTTTTGCTTCGTTTCACATCTATATAGAATTTGGAAGTTGAAGAGGTCGAGGAAATAGTAGCCGAGATTGAGAAGGAAAAGGAGGAAGAGGCCGAGAAGAAGAAGAAGCCAACATCGTCCGCCTAATCTCCGTTATTTTTTACACTTTGCAAATAAAACCCTTATGTACAGTGCCTTTATCGCATGGAATTCATCAAATGCATAAATGGGATGGATAGTGTGAGTTCATGGGTTCAGCTATGCCTGTAGGATGGATACCTGATGTGTTTGCAGCAAGACAATCCACCGTAGCAGTTCAAACGGCTTGCAGTAGCTTCCGTTAATAAGTATGGATAGCAAGCTTACCAAAGGAAAAGGCAGTACACAACAGCAAGTGATTGTGACAAGTACTATTAAGCCAAGTTGAAGTGAAGATATGTTTTCATTGAGATATTTCCAGTATAAGGGACGAAATGAGGAAAGATAATAAAAAGTTCAAAAAGAGCGATACAGCATACCTGGTAAAGTCTACAGATATATTTTTATTCTAACTTATTAAAAGATATGCTTAACGCTATTTATGGCATCCAGTACCGTCGTCTCGAGATCCGTGTACTTGACACCAAGGTCGCGAGTGATTTTGCTACCATCATACTGCTTAGGCTGATTGGCGTTTTCGTAGTTTCCAGGCTCACCTTCGACAATGATATCCTGTCGTTCAGGGAAGTTCTTGCGCAAGATATCTACTATTTCTTGGAAAGAATAAGTGCCGGCGTTCAATATGTAGCGCTGTCCGTCTGTAATATTATTCTTCTCCACGATCATAACACTTGCACGCGCAACATCAGCGACGTTTACGAAGCCAACAGGTGGAAAACTTTGATTGTAATTTTGGTTTTCGCCACTGTAGAATTGGACAATGTAAGCGGCAGTACTGGCAGCATTGACATCATCTACCGACCGAGGAGTGGGTACGATGGCACCGTAGATCCAAGATGGTAAAATGGTTGAAATCGTGAATGGGAGCTTGTTGTCCTCCTTGAACTTCCAGACAGCACGTTCGGCTTCGTTTTTGCTTGCCATGTAGGCCAAAAACACAGGGATGCTTTCGCCCTTCGCCTTCCGGTCGATCATGGATTTGATGGCTTCATCATTCCAATCCTTCTCAGTGTACACATATTTCTCTGGGACGGAGGAGTCGAGTAAACTAGCTAAGCTTGATACCACCAGTACAGACTTGACGTTCTTTCCATACTGAAGAGCAGAGTTCAGTATACTTGTCGTTCCTTTGATGGCCACATTGACAACGTCTTTCATGGGATCTTCGGATTCGACGCCAACGGGAGAAGCAACGTGTGCAATAATTTCAACATCTAGTCTCAAGAAAGCATCAGTAAAAGACTTTGTTTTGCAGCATATATCGTGAAATCTACAGTACCTTTAACCGCATCGTCAAAGGCGCCTTCTTTCGCGAGATCGCCTGAGGCATAAACTTCAAATTTGCCTGATCCGTACTTTTCGTCGAAATAATTTTTAAGATTCTCAGCTTTGGAAAGTGTTCTAGCAGAGCCAACAACGATATAGCCATCGTGGATGAATTGATCAGCAATAGCAGCACCAAGATAGCCTGTAGCTCCAGTGACAAGGACACGAGCACCAGACCGGATAGCGGAGACCATTTTATTTTATTTTTTGATGGGTTTGATTGATTGTGGATTGTATAACACAAAATAGAGAAAGTGAGAAGTCGCGTCGTCTTTTATACTTTCTTCAAACGTTCGGTGTTATAAAACAAGTCCATTATTAAAGCTCTGTTGCTTAGAAACAGCCATCATCCAGGCGCACCGGATTAGGTAATTCATGTGGGACAAGTATTCCGGAGTCCGCATAAGCTTGCAGAGGTCCGTTGCAGAAATATCTTTTTAAATGACTGCGCGATACAATCGTCTATTCTCTACAGAGGAGGGCTATGGAAGCAAAAAAAATTCACCATGGGTCTAATTGTTTCTTTCTATGTCAAGAAAACAGTTTAAAAAGCTGGTCTTTTTAGTAGTACGCTATTTTGGAGAGGTCTGGTAAGTGTGGTCATACTCGATCGTCAACTTTCACGCCACTCAAGCCATTTAGTATATTGCTCATGCTTTTCCAAAGGGAGGATATTATCTTTTGAAAGCTTGCAAATAAAAGATGTAAAGTCTAATTCTCAAAAACATTTCAACACTGCTTCTCTATATTAATCAAAAATTGTGTTTCTTTCAAGGTTGTTTGAGCTCACATTCACATTTATCATTATAACATTGCCGCTTCTTATTCCGCAGTTCCGAAGCTATCATTGTCAGTATCTCATCAACATTATTTCCCCAAGTCTCAATAGTGTCATTGTCAGGACGCTTCGGTACGCTGAAAGTTGAATCCGCCCAGATCATACAACCTTCTACGTATGTTTGTATTCTTTTGCCATGCGTTAGAAATGTCATTGTCAGCATACTCAAGTAGTGTAAAAAGTTGTTTGAAAATCAAACCGAATGGTTTTATTTTAAAGATTTTGAATGAAAGTAAGAATGAATGATTTTAGAAAGAAAGAATGAATGAGTTGAAAGAAAGAATGAATGAGTTGAAAGAAAGAAACTGAATAATAAAATTACAAGTATGAATAGAAAAGAAAGTGAATGAAATGAGATGAAAGACGCTTTGATATGCCCAATTTGATTATGGTCTTGTTGCCTTTGGTAATGGCCACAATTTGATAGTTTGCGATTGTTGATGATTGAAGTTTGTTTGAATGACTAAGACTCACAACAGTGTGTGTGATTCTTTCCATGGTAGTTGTTCTGACTCTTATCTGAGTGTTTGAATGACCGTTCCTTTTGATGGTGTGGTAGTGCGCAGAATCTTATTTGAATGTTTGAATCCCTGAGTTCCATTTGTAGGTGGTTTGTTCATAGTTCTGGTTTGAGTGTTTGAATGCGTGGAGCGCATGTTAATGGTGGTTTGATTACACTGTTTTAAGCGTTTAAGTGCTTTGATATTATAGTTGGTATTGTAAGGATTGTGTTATGGATTGATTGATTGTAAAAGACTATGGGCTGCCAGCTGACCTTGAGGTACTTTGAAGTGTGCAATAG